TTATATGCAATTGTTGTAACTGATACTGTTGTTTTCAAAATCTAATTAACTTTACTCGTATTATTATTAATATATAAATTATCTTTGTTGTTTATACACATAATAAACAATTTTTAAGCGATGAAAAATATCAACCATTTTTTTACAAATTCTAGTAGCCTGAAAGATTCGCCAGCTTTTTGATCTCGTGTTAAAAAGTGTTCCCTATTCCAAGGTCATTAATCTAAGTTACTTCTATGGATGTCTTGTATGTGAGTGCCTGTGGACACGGGGCCACTTTCATAGTCAATCAGTAGTCTTTTATGGGTCATGATAAAGTACTCATAAACTTCATCAAGGTCAAGGGTGCTTCTTTCCAAAATTTTCAATGTCAGTAATAACATGTCATTTACCGATGTAACTTTACTGTATTCTGTCCACCGCTTCAGATATGAAGTTAAATTGACGAGTTCCCCCAATTTACTCAGCTTTGGTCTTGATTTAAGTCAGTGATTTGCAAAGCGAGCAAATAAACGGTCAGGACAATGCTAGGAAACGAGGCAGCAATGAAAATAAGCAAGATCCCGCTGTCCAACGAGTTCACAGACGTATTATAGATATGTCATCTGATATCAAGAAAAATGTATATAGTAACAAACTTCAGAATTCAAATTTTGCACTCTAAGTTGATGAGTCAATAGGTACTGCAACAATGCGCAAGTCATAGCGTTCGTCCGTTTTATCAACTAATAAAGAAATCAATATAGTAAAATGAAATTGTTTTTTTCTTTTAAAGAATTAAGTGTAAAGTGAAGATTTTTAACATTTTGAATAAGTCGTCATGTGTATTTGTACAGATAGTACCCCATCCAGGATGCGTGTATTAAGGGCCTTACATCTTTTGTAAAAAAACAATGAGAATGTTATTGAACTCACTGCTAGAGATGATATATGCAACAATAGCAAAGTTAATCCAGAAGCAATACCAAATTCTTAATAATATACAAGGAACACCAGTTGGCTGAAAAGGATTATATGCTACGCAGGCGATGCAGTGTTAATCTCTGAAGACGAAGATAGCCTCGAAAGAATGCTGTTTAAATTCGAGAAAACTGTAGAGAAATCTCAGTACAGAAAACACAGTTCCTTACAATAGCCAAAAAAACTAAGAAGATCTAGAAGAGATAAGAGGTCATGTGGTTGAAATATCTCGACCTGATGCAATATGGAGAAACAAATATTTACAAATAAAAAGTAAGGTGAAAATCTATAAGATGATTGTGAGATTGGTGATGATCTACGCTGTCGGAAAATACCACCCTTCAGCCTTTTGCTTCTCCGAACAATAAAGATGAAAACCTGAAAGCTGAAAACATAGACGAAAATGTGGGGTACAGGACACTATCATGTCGGAAGAATGCTGAAAATCATCAGAGAGATTTAGGCACAATAAGGAACAAATCAGTGGAATAAAACAGATGACAGTTGACATCCAATATCAACTGACTGGCTGCAGTTGAGGGATATTTCAGCATCAATATTAGTATGCTGTGAAGATTGTAAGAGTTTTATTAGAGAAATACGGTCAAGTTCTTTTAGATCCACAAATAGCAAACGTAAATTGATAATCAATAGTGGATCTACCTGATCTTCTCACTCATCTTCAATCCTGCTTTTCAATATGCAATTTTATTATGTTTTATTTTGTTTAGACTTGAACTAGGCGATTAGAAGAAGAAACTACTCGAAACAGTAGCAGAAGCTATGCAATCAGCAAGGTCTGCCCACCTCCTGGTAATTACTTACTCCTAATACCACTGTGTTGCAAGATTTTTATACAGTTGATGAGTTAATTTGGGATTACTGATTTCAAATATGCCTTCCATTTTTCTGTAACACGTTTCGTTTTTTTTCATTCAGGTGTCACACTGCTGCTGGGCATAGGATTTTATAAGGCAACTGTAGATGCAATGAATTTGATATTTGGCACTTTGATATAAGGCGAAGGAATAACATTTAGTTAACAGCTTTCACTCATCATCATCAATTTCTTCAATTAAATTCCAACAAACATCCACTAACAGGGAATCTATTTTTTTTTCGTTGAATCAACTTTCAAGTGGTGCTATTATCTCATGAAATTTTTCACCGTGTTCATCACATCAATGTTCAATTTGTCTTTCAAAGTGGTCCAAATAATGGTGGAGAAAATGGAGTTTTAATGACATTCGCAAATTCAGTTATTGAAAGCTATCAACATATCAGAAATAAGGAATCGCCAATTTGCAGATCAATGTACACCCAGACAATATTCTATAACAGCTTTAAGACTGTCCCATGCAATTTGCTGATTTGGCAAAAGACGTTTCTCAAACTGGGCATCTTTTATCTATTAGCGAATACTAGTAACAGTGATATTAGTAACAATTTCCGGTGTAACCGGACGTAGTACAAGCATAATACTAGCACTAAAAGGTAGATTTCTTCACATTATATATTAAGGTGCCAAATATCAAATTCATTGCATCTATAGTTTTCCTACAAAAAAATTCTGAGTCTCGCAGCCGTACGAAACCTGAATGAAAAAAACGTGACGTGTTACAAAAAACGAAGGCAACAACAAAAAAAAACACTTAACTGATCTACTGTACACAAAAAAAAAGTTAAAATTTGCAGCACAGGGTAATTGTTAGTATTATAAAAATAGTATTATAATTTGTAATAATCCGTACAAATTAATTATTCGTTAAGTTTGATTTTTAAATTTCTGAAATGGCAACTCTGACGACTATATCCCAAACAGAAGCTTTGCACCGAAGAGTTTTCTATACTACAATAATAAGTTGTGTAGAATAGTAGCCAAAAACGTAGGGAAAGAGTATACCAGAAGCATTGATGAAACCATAAAGGCAAAAGCGATATAATTGCTTACAGAAAAGAGTGTACTGAAAAGCCAGCAAAAAGTAAAATCATGAAATTGATATCTGTGCGACAAAAAGTGAAAAATATACTTAGAAGTTAAGATCAGATAAAGATAATCACTGAATGAAATTTACCAAGCAGTACTTTCTATTTCCCTCACTTGCTGGTGGAATTAAAGTATGTCAGACCATCTTTAGTAAATATATTGAAATGAAAAACAGAATAAATGTTCAAAAAAAGCGAATATCAGAAGATAGTATGTGCTTTCCGGGTAGCAGAGAAGAATCGCTATTTAAGAGCAGTAACTGGGAATGACAACATATAGTAAGTTGACTACAACAAAAATGTGTAGATTATATCAAAACATTGTACGGAGCTGTGTCATCAGCAATTAAAGAGCAGCTTCCAGAAATTGTTTTTACAGAAATTTATCAAAAGCAACCATAATCACAAAAAAAATATATATAGCAAGGGGATGGTATTCTAGAATGAAGTTTGTACTTGGTAGTTTTCACTTGGATAATTGTTCAGCAATACTTTTTCTAATAAATACAGTGTCCAGAGGTCAATTCAGACATAATTTGACCTTTTTTTCCATAGCTGGAAACAAAACTACGCCTGATAGTTATACCTGGGACTTAATTCTAGCAGAATTTGGTGGTTAAGCAATAGTATCTTGGATGCTTCAATATTTAACCAATCTACTAAAAAAAGTTAAAGAAAAGAATTTGTTTTATTGTTCCAAGAGTAAAAGTTATAACCAAAAGTTTATAGAACATTCATACTGTTGCTATTGTAATAAAATATTTTGATTTAAAATGCATCTTTACTATTCAAGTATAAGAGCAAATAATGCCATATTTTTCTAAACCGATTAGTACAAAGAGAAATCGAGATAGAAAAAGATATCAGAACTAATGATATTGGTTAATTTACATTTTGAATGAGTTGTACTGGTACATTATCTGATTATAAATTGGTTTCTGTCATTGGATTTGGTATCGTTAGGATTGTGACAAGTTTTTCTACGATTCCCGGAATATAGATTGATTCAACACTCAATTCTTAGACATAGACAAGTTTCAGCAATCAAACGTTTAGTAGTTTATAGTAGTTTATGGAGTTGGATCTACAACATCTAAGTCGTTAGTCTGGAGATCCTTGTTATAAAGACTGATTTCAGAAATTGGGGTATACTATGTCTACACCGTCAAGATACATGTTTTAGCAACAATGATGCCATCTTCATAAGTTTACACAACCAGGAAGAAGATTGTTTCGCAATCAATATACCATTCTCAGAGTTTGCAAAGTTTTCTCTATATGATGCTGATTTTGAATTAACCTATATAAATTCTTTGTAAAAGAAACTGTATTAAAAACGTACTCTATGAACAAACATAACCACCTATTATTACCATCTGAACTTTCAAAGATTACGAGTCAAATCATAATAGAGGTGAAAGTACAAGTAGTGAATCAGATTCGTTAAAAATGCGGTGGTCAAAATTGAAAATGAGAGGATAAATCGTTTTCACGAAATAATTTAAATAAAATTTCCTTAAATAAGCGAAAATAAATGTTAAAAATATACTGATGCTTTAATAACCATTAATTTCATATAATTACCATAAATGAGGATACTTCAAACGTATAATTGCACATGTAATCATTAAATAACAGTCAGGTATTTGGGTGAAAGTGCAAACTATAATTTGCATGCCCTACTTGGAAGAGGTGCTGTTAGAGGTTTCGATGTCAAAATCCAAGGTGAATTCACGAATCAAACGTTTACTTAAAAAAATTGCGTAAGGTGTTGCCATTACAAGTTCAAAAAATGTTAATGGGTAATAAAAAGAAACATTAAATCCTTGTCGATGAAATTTAAAAGAAAATTTTAAAAATAAAAATTTTAAAATAACTTTACACAATAAAAGTAAAAAGAAATACAAAAAGGTTTTAAATTTATAACAGAAAGATTGGTGCATAATAAATTACTAAAAAAGGTTTCAGGTAATTACACATCTTCCAAGAAGCGAGTTCTAATAAATTAAAATTTTTCGGCAATCAAAATACAACCAAAACAATCCAAAAAATACCTTTCTTTGTGGCTGCCTGAGACCGGGTTGAGGCACAAACGTCCTCAGGCTTGCCAAAGGAGCCGGCAAACCAGTTAACATCGGTTGAACGTGAACCGGAGCCTGTAGATGCATAGCACCGGCGGGATGTATGGGCACTGCCACCATTTTTTGCAAGGGTACCCCCCATGGAAGGTACCAAGTCCCAGGGTGGTGCTGCATCGTTATCTTTCGATAGTTTGATCGATATACGAAAACTGACTACGCGTCTAAAAAACGATTCCCCCTTTTTAATTTAATTTTACTACAAAGGAACACTATTTAAATAAACACTCGTACTGACGAACGACTGAAAAACATCGCGTCAACCGTTTAACAAATTAACAGATACACGAGGGGGGCGCATCATGTAAATACCGAATAAAATTCTCTCAGCACTCGGTGTTTTTAAAAGGGGTTCTCGTAAGGAGACGGAAACACTGATTTTCTTTTTTGAAAAGAATCGTCGAGAACGTAATTTTCTCGTACGTGGATACTTGAAGATGAACTGACGCGTGTTTCTCCGTGTTATATATGGTTGAGGTACGAACGCTTTCGACGGCCGCGAACCGACGACTGAACGACGAGTGCTGCGAAACAGGAGGTGCGAGTGGTTAGGTTAAGCTCAGGCATTGCGTCGGCTCGCGCGCTTCCAAAACTTTACAGTTTCAAGCTCCAACCACTCTCCACTGCGGTTACAACGATAACAAACCACTTTTCATTATTCTTTTTAAGTTTTAATAGTAGTAATAAAATGAAATCAATTCATTTTCTTATGCAAGGTATATATATACCTCATTTAAAACAATGACAAAAGTGCTAATTAAATTTAATATACAGTAAAATCTCGATATAACGGACTAATACGGGGAAGGGAGTGTCCATTATTGCCAAAAGTCCGTTTTGTCCATTTTAAACGTGCGAACGTCTGAAGACACTGAATGGTACAACTTAAAAAAGTAATATGTTGTAGTAATAAAAAATAACCATTATATGTTAAAATGTACTTTTCTATTCGGGGATGACACATGTTTATCTATTTCCGAATTATTAAATTTAATTCTTTCATTAAAGATAAACGCGGGCTTAAGGCGATCGATATTAACAATAATTTTATCATTGCCTTTCTGAATTACGAAATATTTGGTTGCTTTTGTCAGAACTTTGAAAGGTCCTTCGTATCGCGGAGATAACGACGGTTTCAAACCTTCAATTCTAATGAAAACGAAATTTGATTTGTGCAAGTCTTTATGAATAAAAGGTTTTTGAATAGAGTGAAATGACGTATTCACTGGTTTTAATTTTGAAAAAGTGTCTCTTAAACTGGAGAGCAAAGGCTCATAGTCAATAGATGGATTAGTAGGTATGAAGAACTCTCCAGGAAGTCTTAGTGGTTGCCCGTAAAGCAGTTCTGCTGAGGAGCAACCTAGATCTTCCTTAAGTGATGTTCTTAATCCTAGTAGGATGAGGGGTAGATTGTTGTTCCATCTAGTAGAGTCTCTTTTAGCGATGATAGCCGTATTCAATGATCGATGAAATCGTTCTAACATTCCATTTGCTTGGGGATGGAAAGATGATGTATGTATTTGTCGTGTGCCAAGTAATGTGTTAAATTTTGAAAAGAGGTTTGATTCAAATTGCCGTCCCTGACCATGTGTTATTGTGGTAGGTATACCAAATCGACTAAAATACTGCCGGAAGAGTGTGTTTGCTATAGTAGAAGATGTGATATCTTTCAGCGGAAAAGCTTCTGGCCATCGAGTGAAGCGCTCGATAACTGTAAGTACATAAGTACAACCTAGGGACGGAGTGAGTGGTCCAATCAAGTCGATATGTATATTATCAAATCTAATTTTAGGAATTTTGATGTTGATGATTGGCGATTTTGTATGTATTTGAATTTTTGCTTGTTGACATTTCAAACAGGTTTTGGTCCAAACATGAATTTGCTTTGACATGTGTGGCCAAAAGAATCTTGTTTTGATTGCATGAATGGTGGAACGTATTCCGGGATGAGGTAAGCTATGAAGTTTGTCAAAAATTGCTAGTCTGAACTGTTGCGGAATATAAATTCTTGGAGATGATGAAAAGGTTTCATATCACAGTTTGATATCGGATTGTGATGTTGTTTGATGTGTTAAACGATAAGATTTTGAAGGATTATCGGAAAATTGCTTATTTAGTAAGTTTTCCAATTCTATGTCAGCAAGTTGAGCGTTGTTAAGGGCTAGAAAATCTGGATAAGATAAATTTAGAGATCCGATGTTTGTTCTGGATAGAGTATCTGCAACAATATTTGAATTTCCTCTGATGTATTTGATATCTGAAGTAAATTGTGCAATATAACTTAGATATCGGGTTTGTCGAGGAGTTTTGTCTGTGGACGAAGAAATTGATGCGACAATGGGTTTGTGATCTGTATATACTGTAAATTTATTTCCATGCAACGAATGTTTGAAAAATTTGATAGCAGAGTAAATCGCTAAAAGTTCTCTATCAAAAGTGGAATATTTGGTTTGGCATGAATTAAATTTTTTGGAAAAGAACGCTAATGGTTGAGACCTTCCATTGACGGTTTGCGTTAAAGCAGCTCCCATACCTGTGTTAGATGCATCAGTTGACAATGATAGGATAGTATGTGAAGAGGGATGTCCTAGAAAGATAAATTTTGATAGAAGATTTTTGGCTGAAGAAAAAGCGTTGTCGTGTTGCAGAATCCAAGAAGTTGATGAAATCGTTTTTTGTTTTTGATAGTGAAGTAATTTTGAAAGTGTGTATAAGGGATCAAGAATATTTGAAATGTTAGGTAAGAATCTATGGTAGAAGTTTAACATTCCCAAAAATCTTTGTAACTCTTTTAGAGTCGTTGGCTTTGGAAAATGTGTTATGGCTGTGATTCTTGATTGCGATGGTCAAATGCCATCGGATGAAACATGATGAGTAAGAAAATCCAATGATTTAACACCGAAAATGCATTTTTTTCGGTTGGATATTGATATTGTAGGAAGTTAATCTGTGAAATAATTGTTTTAAATGAAGTATGTGTTCTTCTTCATTTCGACTTGCTACAAGAATATCGTCTATATATACAAAAATGAAGGTTAGTCAAAAATGAAGTTAGAAGATGGTCGACAGATGCCCATAGCGACCATTTGTTCGAATTCTTTTTTAGCGATTGATAGCTTACGCACATCCAAACGTCGAGGACGGCAAAACGGAAGATGTGAATTAGTAATAATTTTGTGTTTAGCGTTGTGTGTAACGGGAGATGAAAAATCAGGCGAAGTAGTTAATTTTGGAAATGTTTTTAAAATGTTTGAAAATTTTGATTCAAAGAAGAAAATTTTGGGTGATGGAACGTCGCTTTTGATACAAGAACCAATAGAGAAAATTTTTGTTTCCTTATCGATTAATTTCTTATTCTTAACATCAACTAACGATACCGAATCTAGTTAAGAAATCGATGATGTACAATATCATGTACAATATTTTTATTGAATTTTAAAAAATTATTTTTATTCTACCACATTTTAGGTTGTTAATGGATAATTTATTTTTTTAATCTGTTTTTTGTAAATTATATAACAAATCATTTTATTAAAAACAACTTTTCATGGCACACTTTGTGTGGTGCATGGCACACTACAATTAGCATTAGAAATAACACTAGTTTAGCCGGTTTAGCCGTACGTCTCTCAAGACGGCTAAACCCGATTGATTCTAGTTCTAGGTATAGTGTTAGTTCTAGTAACAATGCTAGTGTAGAACTAGAACTAACACTAAACCTAATACTAGAAACATTCGGGTTTAGCCTAACGTCTCTCAAGACGGCTAAATCCGAATGATTCTAGTTTTAGGTATAGTGTTAATTCCAGTGACAGAGTTAGTGTAAAACTAGAATTAACACTAGACCTAGAACTTCCATTCGAATCATTTTTTTTTTAATCCTCTTATTTTCAATTTTGACCACCGCATTTTTAACGAACCTTATTCGGTACTTGTACTTTCACCTCTATTATGATTTAACTCGTAATCTTTGAAAGTTCAGATGGTAATAATAGGTGGTTATGTTTGTTCATAGAGTACGTTTTTGATACAGTTTCTTTAACAAAGAATTTATATAAGTTCATTCAAAATCAGCATCATATAGAGAAAACTTTGTAAACTATAAGAATGGCATATTGATTTCGAAACAATCTTCGTCCTGGTTGTGTAAATTTATGAAGATGGCATAATTGTTGCTAAAACATGTATCTTGACAGTATAGACATAATAGACCCCAATCTCTCAAACCAGTTTTTATAATAAGGATCTCGAGAGTAACAACTTAGATGTTGTAGATCCCAACTCCATAAACTACTATAAACTTTGATTGCTGAAACTTGTCTATATCTAAGAATTGAGTGTTGAATCAATCTATATTCCGGGAATCGCACAAAAACTTGTCACAATCTTAAAGATACCAAACCCAATTACAGGAACCAATTTATAATAATCAGATAATGTACCAGTACAACTCATTTAAAATGTAAATTAACCAATATCATTAGTTCAGGTTCATTAGACATCAGCACGTTTAGTTATCTGATATCATTTTCTATCTTGATTTCTCTTTATACTAATGGGTTTAGAAAAATATGACATTGTTTGTTCTTATACTTGAATAGTAAAGTTGCATTTTAAACCAAAATATTTTATTACAATAGCAACAGTATGCAGTTCTAGGTATAGTGTTAGTTCTAGTAACAATACTAGTGTAAAACTAGAACCAACACTAAACCTAGAACTAGAAACATTCGGGTTTAGCCGAACGTCTCTCAAGACGGCTAAACCCGAATGATTCTAGTTATAGGTATAGCGTTATTTCCAGTGACAGTGTTAGTTCTAGTTTTAATTTAATGAAAAATATACAACAATCTAACCCTAAATAACTAAAACTAGAACTAATACTAACATTAGCACTAACACTAGACATAGAACTTGAAACGTTCGGCTTTAGCCGTCTTAAGAGACGTACTGCTAAATCCGAATGATTCTAGTTCTAGGTATAGTATTACATCTATTAAATGCTAGTTTTAATTCTTATTCAGCTAAACGTAGTACTAATACTATACCTAGAACTAGAATCATTCGGGTTTAGCCGTACGTCTCTTAAGACGGCTAAACCAAAATGTATCTATGTAGTTCTAGGTCTAGTGTTAGTTCTAGATTCAGTTCAATGAAAAATATACAACAATATGAAAGACAATCAAAACATGAACTGCCGTTCTTGATTTATATATCATATTAGCAACTCGGGGAATACCCTTGTTTATCTATGAGTTTATATTTAAATATACTGATGTATTAAATAGATAATGTTAAGAGTATGACTTAAAACTACATTGTCCGTTATAGCCGAACTCCGTTCTAACAAGATCCGTTATATCGAGATATTACTGTACCTCTTCTAAAACAACGAAAAAAGTGTTAATTAAGTTTTTAATTTAATATACTTCGAAACAGCTTCATGTCTTATCATTAGGAAATAAATTTTACACCAATCAAACAATTACCATCTTATTTCACGCAATATAAGATGATATCAG